TACTGTAAATATCTGGGGAAAAGCATGTATATTCAATACCAGGAATCTAGGTACAATAGGATTCTGCTTATCTGAAGAGCAGTATCCATGACATACCTCTTAAGAAAAGGAGCTCACCAGTACACAAAGAAACAACAAGATATTATCATGGCAGAGGGCAGATACCACAGTGTGACAGGGTTCTTTTTGAACTGGAAGGGTATTTTGCTTTGCAAGGGTGGCAATTGACACAGGAAACAAGACAGCGGAGGCTTTTATGCTTTTTACTATGTACAGTGGCGTTTTTTACCCCAGATATTTACAGTAGGTCTATACAACACAGTCCTAGTGTCGGATTTCCTCCTAGGTCTCCCTCTCAGAGACCTCCTCCTCTATCCCCCAGAGTCCCCCAGAGTCCTCCATAGTCCCCCAGAGACTATCCCCCTCTATCTCTCCTGCTTCCTCCCTCTTTCTCTCCATCTCTCTTCGCTGTCTCTGGGCTTGACAAGAGACGGAGTAAAAAGAAAGGAACGGGCTGGAAGTTACTGTAGCGTGCTCAGCATGGATCTACTCAGCCGAACACCTACTGCTTCTCTGTTGGGGGAAGAACCTGTCTTGGGCTCTTCTGCCCAGACCTTCCCCAGAGACCAGGGCTTCACCACCAACAGCTGATCTCCTCTTGGGTCTTGGGTGAAGCCACTGCCTATAGCCAGTTGGGTCCCTCCTTTCTGTTCTTGCTCCTTAGGTGGAGTTTTCATCCCTCTGGGTCTTCACTTCCCTTCTTCCAGGGAAGCTACCCATGGACCTGTCTTCTCACTTCCAGACCAGGAACTGACAACTGCTCTGCACATTTAACTTCCCTCCAACTTTTCTCTCTAACCACTCCATTCATTCCATGCACAGACTTTTAGTCTCTTCTTCTTCTCTCTCTCTCCAATTTTTAGTCAGACTGGCAGCATGTCGCCCAGCAATGGAGGAGGTGAGTGCCATCCCCCACCCCAGGGTTCTAGTCCTCAACACCCATATACCAGGCTGGACCAATGGGACTGCTGTCTCAACATCTCAAAACAGCAGCCCTGGCTAGCAGCCAAGTCAGCTCATCAGCCCTCATGGCAGAGCAGCTGCCCTTCAAGGTCAAAACTGAGCTTCTTTTTCTCCTTTTATCCACTCCAATGGCTAGCTCGCACCAACAGAACAGCAGCTATGCCTGGCTACTAAAACCCATATGCCACAGCATGCTCCAGGTTCCACCCCTAAAACAATGTCATCTGATGGGACCTAGGCAATATGCCTTCTCTACTGTCATGCCTGCTCCCTGGAATGGCATTGCCCCTGATGTTCTCGTGGCCCCAACCCTGCCATCTTTCAAATAGGCCTTAAAGACCTGGATTAGGAGTATGTGCTTTCTGAATTTTATTAGGTGTTTATTCACTGTGTGTATTTCATTCCCCAGTTTATTGCCTCTACTCTTTTTAGATTGTATTGAGGTTTTTGAATTGTACACCATCCAGAGTTGTTTCTGAGTTGGGTAGGCTATACATGGAATAAATAAATCCACTTCTAAGATTTGTTCTTGTACACTGTCCAAACATATCATCATTTCTCAAACACTTCAAACATTAGCTTATCTACTATATCTTGCAAGGCCTGTATCATACTAGTAGCCATTTCTTTGGTAAATGAACACACAATGTATTCATATATATTGGAAGGTCCTAACCCACTGTGCACCAGCAATGGTGACTTAGGACATCAGCTAAAATTAAGGGATATAAAGAACAGGGAACCCCAGCCTGTTCCCAAATCTCCAGTCTGACAGCAATAGTTGATTGGGATAAAGGGAGTAGATACTGCAGCCAGATGCTCTACTATATACTATGCATTTTGCTATCTTCTACGGATGCTCTAATAGTGAACTGCTGTTGATGTAAAATATATTTTCTCTGCAGATTTGCCTTCTTTGGGATTCTCATCCTACTTGCAATCTTATGCTACCTGGAATGGTATGCGGGGATGACCTTGGGAGACAAGGGGAAGAGCTGCAGCCAAGGGAATGGTCAGGTAAGAGGCATCTTAGCCTGCAGAAGGAATGTGGGTGTGGCAAATATCTCAGAAGGAACTGTCCCTAGTTTCTTGGTCTATAAAGGTGATGGGGGAGAAATGTGCTTTCAGACTTGCAAGATTCTGTTAATGCAACCTTACAATAAAGTAAAATTAGTTCATCTGGGTGTGCTTCTTGTCTGGACTACCTTGCAAGGCTGATACTACCTTTTCTTTTATCATGTGCCTCATGGGGGTAATGGATGAATGGCCTACAATTCAATTTGCATATATATATATAAATCTACATAGGCTCCTTTAAAGAGTGGATATGAAAATCTACACTAATGCTAAGGATATATGACAGCACAGATACAAAGAATAAAACAATT